AGATTTTAAACCAATAATACTATATACACCCAAAACTTTCCCTTCAGATTATGAATGCTAAAACCTCAATGTAAGGAAACATCATAAAAGTGCTTTAAAGAAAGAAAGCAGGCCATACTTACCTATTTCTCCTTGTAGCTCTTGGCCCATCTGTACGGTTTTTCCTCCTTTTAACTCACATTTTAAATGTTTAGGTTCATCAGGAAGAGGTCTGAAAGTGGTTAACCAGTTAAAAGATTTTAGTTACACCATTAATTGTAGGAAAAATTTAAAATAGTTCCAATACACTTAAAGAGTAACATATATATAATGTTTACATTCTAAAACTCAAATATAGTAAAACCTCTCCAAATACCTCAATTTATAGAACATGGCTATTAATTCAAAAGGAAATAGGGAAAAGATAGTTTAAGATATTAGAGAATATGGACAAAAAACTCATAGAGATGTTAAATTATAATATCTATGCTGTATTAAAAGGAAATTATGACAAGAGAACACTGAAAGAAACAGATGGGTCAGTAAGGAATAACTCATCGAGAGATCTGATTATGGTCACAAAGTAGGATATTTGAAAATTTAATCTCAAACATGGAACTATTCTAAGTGTTGGGAATTGTATGGAAATGGGAAGAGGAATTAAAGGGCAAGAGGTTACTAGAAAAGAGGTGTCTAAGGAATTGACAGGCCAGGGTAGAAGATAGTTTTTTTATGTATTTATATAAGTCCTTCCCTTTTCTATGAGTTCTACGTATTAACTTCGGTTGGACTTTCAACTTTGAAAATCCTCACTAACCAGTGAAAGAATTTTTCCTTCTGAACTACATTGACTGATTATACTGTATCTTTTGTATTTTTCATGTCTTTGTCATTTTGCTGATGTTTTAGTTGTTGCTTGCATTAGAAGAACTTTCCTTTAATGAAGGTTCTAGTTCTTCCAGCTACTAAAGGGCCAATTCGGTATAGGGTTATAGTGATAAGAATTAATCACTATCTTCAATGAAGCTTTATTCCAAAGACAATCTATCATATTTCATGGAAGTTGTGATATTTTCTACATTAAAAACAACTTTCATACATGTACTGAAATATTTTTGTTACTGTATGCTAAAATTTAAAATACCTCAAAACATAGTAAGTCCACAAACCTTACTGTAAATGCACTTTCCAAAGACACATGATCATCTTGGAATGAAACCTGGCAATAGCGCATATCTTTTACAGATGTTGGTACCTGTACATCAGGAAGTAGACCCTGTACCAAGTGTTCTTTGTTAATCTCGGGAGTCCAGTTAACCTAGGAGAAAATTATACATTTACGAATAATACAAAGCTTAGTCTATCTAATGTCCTCAAGGTTATTGCCACATCTCTTACTGGAGACCGTTAAAGCTAAATTATACCCCATCCTCCTCACTCCCAAGAAAAAAGAAAGCCGTCTTATGATCAGAAATGACAGTGCTTCATATATTACTATGAAAAAAAGTATCCTCTTTGTCTTTGCTGTTAATGTTGCCATTATCTTTCAGTGCAATAAAATAAAAATTCTTAAGTCATTTTGTTAGACCTTTGCCACAAAATAATCACTGACTTATTAAAGTTTAAAAATAACACATAGATCATATCATGTGATCAATTCTGAAAAGTAGTATTTAGTTGTTTTTCTAAAAGAATCTTATTTATGGAGGTTTTTGAATGAGATCTAGGTAGACTCTTATTCAGCAAGTGAAAAAAGAGGTTACATTCACTGATATAACTTCCACTCTTCTAGCCACCTTTTGATTTTAACCCCTTCTTGGGTACTTTCAGGCCTATCTTAATTTTACATCCCTTTGATCCCCTATTTTAATTTGTTCTTTAATTCATACTTTCCCAAGTTGATTACCCTACTCTGTCATACTTTTAAACTTCCAATCCTTTCTATTTAAGAATTTTTAGCTCGACTTTCTGTTTTTAGCCTTCTATAGTTGTGATTTTAAAATCATTGATAGTCTGATTATTATTTCCTAGTCATGATGCTCTAACATTTTTAGTTAGTTACCTTTTTAAATCATCTTTATTCTCGGTTCTTCTTTATTGTACTTTTTTTCTAATAATGGAGGTTAAGAAGCAAACAGGAGTTATACAAAAATGAGAAAGGCTTTCTTCCCTTGCCTAAGTTATGCTATACCTTCAATGGAGTCTGAGCTCAGTTCAAGCTGACTTCCCTCTATCTGGGGAACATGACAAAACAGCTGCAAAGGCTGTACATTTAACTTAAAAAAGGAGCAGTATTCACTATCCTTTGCTGTCAATGAAGAGGTGCATGTTTTAAAATCTTTGGTACCCAAGAAATACATAACTACTATATTTGAGGCAAAATGCAGGCCACAAGCTTAGAAAATAGGAAAGAGAGGGCACTACCTACAGGGAGAGGTTCTCCATTCAATGTTTTTTCTAAACCTTGATAAGAAACCAGGAAGTGGAAGCATTATTGTAAGAAAGCAAGGAAGAGTACAGAATTCGGGTCTCTGGCACCACTTTTGTTTAATCCACTCACCTTCGAATCTGCTGGTACTGATAAAAATGGCTTGTCTCCCTTCTAAACAGGATCAGGATTATTTCTCTCTCAATCCTCCCTTCCCTCATTATGGAGGGAAAAAAAAAATAAACTGCCTGGAACAACTGTTCCAAATAAGATTCTTAAAATAAGGTCAGTTGAACTGCTGCTAAACAATCCTTTTAAAATACCAGATCCTATACCCGGAAATTCAAGATGGATAGGGTATACCAGTGTGAAAGAGTAATGTCCCCACAATGGCAACTTTCCAAAAATTTAGTTAATTGGGATCCTTTACACAATGTTGGCTCTCCTAACATGGGGGGATGTTTATCTCTAATTACCTCAAAAATCCAGTTAGAAAATTGTTTTCTCACACTAAAGATTTAAGGAGTTTTATTTCTACAGACATTAAGGGAAAAAGTACAGTCAGTTCTGCCATAATGCTTGCTTTGAAAATACAAATATTTTCCAATGCAATTAACGTATTAGCAAACGATTTAAGCATAAAGTAAATTTCACGTTTGCTTAAGCACAATTTCATCCATGAAAAAACAAGATGAACAAGGAACACTGAAAGGATAGTCTTGTTAATAAACTAGCTAACAGAGAAAGATAAAGTATCAAACACAAAGAGGAATAAACTCAAAGCACAACTGCCCTTTTGTTTGATTAAACACTGGGACTCAACTCTTTGTCTTTTAAGATTAACCACTTGCAGGTATCTCTAAGTGTTCCTTTTCACAGCCTTGAAGAGCCCTATGCAGACAGCAAGGGTGTGAGCTCCCCATTCCAGCTCTTGCCAGAACCACATTTCAAGGGCCCTGATAAACAGGCCTCACGGAGAAGGAAAAAAATAGTAAAAAGCAGACACAGCGGCTTTACAGCCATTTGTGCTATCAGTTGGCAGCACTTTCTTATTCTTTGCACCCCTAATAAAAACCCCAAATCCCTTATCCCTGCGCCAGATAATTCTTTCTTTATGTGCCCTTCTCACCCTTTCAGAAGTAAAATAAACTTTCTTTCTTTAAAACTATTCTAATTGTTGTGTTGAGGAATCTTTCTCCACCCGCATATGAATTCACACCCTAACAAACACTGTACCCAACTGAACCAAACCATGTGGGAATACACAAAACAATGAACCTCAGACACCTGCTAGTCACTTCAATTGACTATGTGTTATGAGGCACACTTATCCACACCTAGTGTTAGAACTTTCTGTCCAATTTCAGATCACCCTCCTTCCACCACTTCACAGAAACCCACAAGCTGCAACCCTTTCTGCAACTTCCACAAGCAAGGCATACTGCCATATTAGTATGGTATTTATGTACTTCTTACCATTTAACATGTATTACTATTACTGCTTTTGCCATTGTTTTAGTAGGTTCCTACCTTTTTTCTTAATGGGTTACTGATGAAGGTGAGTGTTGTGCCTCTAATTCCCATTTCCCCCATAAGCCCTGTGATTTTTATCGCACAATTTTGCACAGCACAGTGATTTTTAGGAATGCATGTGTCTCGTTATCAAAGAAACGACTGCACTTTGAAAGAAGCAAGTACAGATTGTCCACCTTAGCCTTTAACAGATCTTTTGTTTAGTGCCTTCAGAATAAATACAAATTTATTGCTTGGTAAGGCAGTAATCTTGATTATGATTGCAGAAATATAACTGGTCAGGAAGCGTACAACTAAACAAAATGCCAAAAACTGGAAATGTTGTTTTAATGTTGGAATCATTTTTCTAAGTACAATTTTGTTACAGATGAATCATACACATTTTAATCTAGTCTACCAAAAAATGCTTATTTAGCCCAGAGTTTGAAATAATAGTACGATTTTTCTGTGATAAGCTGCATCTTAGAGGCTACCCATAAAACTTCCTGTTCAGAGCCTTCTACACATAAAATGAAAAAAAGTACTTATAAATAATCAATCTGAGATACTTACTTTAATTTTTTCTGCTAAAGCTGATGTTATATTGATTTCTCTTTCTCCCTCATCATACATTTGAAAAATGAGATTACGCATAATGTCGCCTGCTATCCAATTAACCTCATCCTGATGTTTGATCTGGATTGCCTTCTGTCCTTCCAAGCTAAATATCTGCAGTCTTGCAACATGGCTACTGGGAAGCAACTTAATAGTCTTCTCCACAGGTGGCACTTCTTTAAAATTCTAGGAATAGAGGAAAACACGAACATATACTGAGTGGCATCTGTACTGAAACTTTCTTTTTTCTTTTTTTACTTTCATGATAAATCCTTTACACTGTTGAAGAATTCAGTTTCAATATAATGGAAGAGCTTGTTATATTCACAGGTTTTGTCATTAAGAGGGCACTGTACTATTGATAATTCCATATTTTATACCAACAGGTTATAAATGACAGTGGCCACATTCTTAAAACCAAAAACAAGTATATTTGGACTAAAAGGATTCCCTTCTCCTTATTTCTGAATTTATTTAAAAGTATTGCAAACTTACTTTAATCCATCCAAGTCACACATTTCATGACTAGCATTTATTAAGAATAAAGACTTAAGAACTTTCCACAAAACTGGAGACAAACAGCTGCTACAAAATACATTATTTAGTGGTAACAGGTTACACTGAGGCTTTCAGTGTTTTTTCAATTCAGAACACGTTGAGGTAAGTGGACAAGGTTGTTCACAGCCAGAGAAGGACTCTAGATGCCCTGATCTATATTTTGGCATATTCATAATTTATTATTGGCATACCAGTATTCCACAGATCAGTGAAGAAGAGCTGGATTATGCTATGTAAACTGATTTTAGGCACACAAAATTAAAACATTACATCATTATTTCACAATCTACCTATAGTGCATTCCACAGCATACCCTAAATTTAAAATAAGTCTAACCAGGAAATACCTTTACGATCTTCCTTAACTCATATCTCCTTTCTCACCCAGTTGCAGCCATTCTTATGGAAACCAATACAAGTGACTGATGATTTATTCAAAATTCCTACTTTACAGAATATCAGGGAAATAACCCATCCTCTATTACAAGTATATCTTATCTGCTTGACTCCTTAAACTCAAGAGTTGCTACCTTTGGATAACATTTCATAATTAAATATTACAGGATATACCGTGATATTTAACTGACTTGGATTCTTGGTCTTATGCCTGTTGCTGCTCTGTAGTATTTACATAAATCCTAATGCTTGTTGTTCTTGCCTCCAAGTCCAGATTCCTCCCTAATTCCAAGTCCTGATCTTTTGCAAGACAGTATGCTCAAAAATATGTTGCCCACATTATTGCATAAAGGAAATGCATAATAAATACTTTTAAAGGTATCAAAAATAACCAGTTTGAAAATAACTGGAATAAAGCCAAGAATCATCTTATTCTAATTAAATAAATAAAAGAAATCTTTTACCCCTTTGAGGCTGAGGATATATTACTAATTGATGTATAATTAGCACGAAAATACGAGTTAACCAAGCAATTAGGTTATCTATCACTTACCGTACCAATTCTTAAGAAATCACATACAAGTATTTTACTTAAGAATCTGTTATCCCATTCAGCAACCTGAGGAGAGTGACTACTTATAGCACCTTCTTCCATGTTGGTTTCACCATCAGCCAAGATGCATCTCCAATAAAAAGTATACTACTAGCAAATTATAAGGAAATTCCTATTTGCAAAAATACTAATAAAAAACTATGTATTCATAAAAAATTAAACGCACAAATTAAAGGTTTATATGTCCTTCAGTGATGGTTTAAATAGGGATATTTACCAAACCTTCTAAGAAACAAATGTGAATAATAAAAAACAAAAGAACAAAAATAAAATGATGCATTTTAATATAAGAAAAAAATAATTTTTGGAAAATATAAATCAATAATACCTACAGATACTGTAAAAGGTTTGATCAAGACAATTACTAATATTTGGTAGAAAACATTAAACCAGTCATTATACCATTTCATACTGCCTCTTCTTCTCTTTGGCTAAAAGAACCACAAATACCTTGTTTTTAAAAGTTAAACAACTTTGCATAGTATACTATAAAGCTGTTAAACGCTATTTGTATGAAGACTCAATATAATATCAGTGAGTAACAGTAATAACTTACAAGTATTTCAATTCTTGCTTTAAGTGTCTGGTCTTTTTTAATATTCTGAACTTGAATTGCAGATCCTGTTAAAATACTGGTTCCAGAACTACTGCAATCCACAACATAGACTGGAAGGTCTGGAGCACCTGAAAACTATTTGAAGGATGCAAAATAAGACTCAAATAAAATATAACTGATTATTCAACAATTGTTCAAATTTTCAAATAATTCACTACAGCTACTATTTCTATAATTCTAAAATTCTGGAAAATTCTAAATAGAAGTCACTGAAATTCCAGAAAATTTCTATAAAAAAACAATTTTCTGCACTGCTAGGTAAAATCTATCTGTTTTAAAAGGACAACCAACTTCTTCAATCATTATTCTTTTCTTTTTTACTTTATTTAACTGGGCTTTCCTTTTCTTTTTGTAGTCTTTTACTCACGTTCGTCCATCCATTCCCAATCCTGAAAGGCATTTCCATCATTCTATTCATAAATAAAATACTTCATCTGAAATGAGGGGGATGTAGGCAAGGGAGGAGAGGGAAGGAAACTTTCATCCATAAATTTCTTTATGTAACTGGGCATAGCTGGCATCTATATTGGCTTAGGGATGGTGAAAAATCACTGGCAATGAGAGATTCCATAAATTCCTCCATGGGATAATAATTAAAGACTTAAATACTAGGTAAGGTTTAGTATAAAGCAGCTAAAACATACAGTCACTGCCATCTATTACAATGGGACTCAAAATCTAGATATTCTTGTCTTTCAATAAGCTTACCTTACAATGAACAATCAATTTTGGTTGTGCTGTTATGTTGTCTGATTCATCTAATACTTCCACCTGAAATGGGAAAGCTGTTCCATTTTCTATAACTAAAATTTCAGAATCAGGTTTCACTTTCAATCGATGAGGGTGACCTATCAGGAAATTACATACGGAAATATACATATAGGTTTCAAAGACTGAAGTATGAAAATATCAAAAGAAACAACTTTAAAATTTAAAGATTTAATATTTTATAAATAATGCTACGAAAAAAATAAGGAATGTCCATGTTTAATCGGTCCTATCTTAAAATACACAGATTTTTTGTAAGATGAGAGCTGTCTCAACTGTATAAAATATCTGGTGTCTAAGCTTAGTTTTATGCCACAAGCTATGACAATGATAACTCATGCAAGAAATCACCTAAACAAGTAAAATCCTAAAAAGATCCTGAGAAAAAAAGTATTCAAGAAGAAAACTGAAAGTTTATTAAACTACCTTATTTAATAACTTCAACTTTATACAATGACTGATTGCTCCACCACAAGTAACTATATGCCTGTTGTAGGTATTCAAAGGATCAATTCTTGTAATAACATAAGCAGGTCATTTACTTTTTAGATCGTGCACTACCTTTGATGTCTAAGCAAGTTATACCACAAGTTCCCTCTAAGAGTAATAAAACAGGGTTTATACTCCTGCAGTAAGCCAATCTGATTTGCTCTATAAACAAATGTTTTAAAATTCAATTTATGCTAAATACTGGTAACAGACACATACAGAGACAGTTACTGGAAACACTTATTTTATTTTGTAATAATACTAGCTGACATTATTTACTATATGCCAGACACTGTGCTAAGTTTTAATTAAGGCCTATTCTCATATAAACCTCACAATAATCTTAATGAAGAAGGCACTATTAATTATCCCTATTTTATAGGTGAGGAAACTGTGAGCAGAGAGATTAAGCATTTTGTCCAGGTCACAAGGCTAGTAAGTGGCAGACTTGGGTTTAAGTCCTGGTTTGTAATTTGAAGCACCTTAACTTTTATCACTATGCCATGTTACTTCCTACTTTACCATTTTGCCCTAAAATTCCCCCAAAATGACAGATCTAGTTACTAAGAATTTTACTGCCCAAATCCATACTCTTTTTAGCTAAACTATGAAATATATGTATACATGTTTATTAATATGTAATGATTTTTTTCTTATACTTCTACAGTTGTGCCAATTTTTAATTCTTTATCAACTCATGCTTGAGGGAAACCTCAAACAACTTGAATTTGTAAAAGTAAATACCTAATATGTTTCTTTTTGATTAAAACCAGTATAAAAGGTCAAATATGGACAAAGATATGATCGTGATATTGTTGATATCAGAGCTAAAGCTTATATGCTAAGCACTGGTTTAAATGCTTTACAGATACAGACAGTTCTCACTTTGTACAGTATTAATATTGGGACTGTGTCCTCCATTCAGTACTCCAGAACCATGCAAAGAGAGGACTGCCTATGTTAACTCACTTAATCCTTACAACAACCCTGTGAGAGTGGATATTATCTCATTTTACACATGAGGAAATGGAGGGATAGAACAAGTTAATCTAGATTCAAAACCAGAAGGGCCAACTCCACAATGTACTCTTTGAACCTCTTTAACAGACTACCTCCCAAATTAGCCAGCATTTTCTATCCTGTGTAACTTTACTGCAACCTCATTTTTTCAAGTTAAGTCATTATCAAATTAACTTAGTAAAAATGACATTAGAAGCTTTTCTTCTTAAAATATGAAATAGTTATATCAACAAAAGGTAAAGGACAGGCCCAGATATAAATCTAATATATACTTCCCTAGAAATAGTTGCCTAATACATTTCCAATATTCAAATTTTTCTCTCAAGATTCATTAACATCATCCTAAAATTTCCTTTTTAAAAACTATTCATTTCTGTCAGTGCTATGTTTGACATTCAAATGTATTTAAGACTTGTATCATTACCAATCCCTGAAAAAACTCCAACTTTATAAGTATCATTATTTATAAGAATATTATTTAAAAGGTAATTAGGAATATTTCTTAAAATAATATTACCAGGTAGTAATCTAATTTTCAAAATCTGAGAGTCTTCTTTTAAACCCGGTAGAATAACCTTCAGGTTATAATTCTGTTGAAAAAAATTGTAAAAATTAAACCCAAGTCCTAAATACACACTTAAGTAGTTTAGCCTCAATTCTGATTTATTTTTTGCTTTTCATTTTCATACCATAATAAAAATCTACTCACCAATTTTATATTTACTAAAATTATCTAATCTATGTATGTAACAAATTCAGAGGAAAAAATTAACCAATACTGCTTCCTTCTAGATGATAATCTCTTCAAACTCAAAATGTATAACTTCTGAATTATTATCAGAATCAAGATGGGTATCATAAAAAATGTGAAATAGTAAAATGCAAAGAACAAAAATCTCAAAATTTCTAAATGTGGTATTCTAGATTGGATTCTGGAATAGAAAAAATAATATTAGGCCAGGCATGATGGCTGATGCCTGTAATCCTAGCACTTCGGGAGCCCGAGGCAGGAGAATTGCCTGAGGTCAGAAGTTTGAGACCAGCCTGAGCAAGAGCGAGACCCCACCTCTACCAAAAATAAGAAAAAATTAGCTGGGCGTGGTGGTGTCCACCTGTACAAGTCCCAGCTACTCGGGAGGCTGAGGCAGGAAGATCACTTGAGCCCAGGATTTTGAGGCTACAGTGAGCTATGACGACATCACTGTACTATACCCAGGGCAAGACAATGAGACCCAGTCTTGGAAAAAAAAAAAAAAAAGAGAGAGAGAGAGAGAAAAGAAAAATAACATTAACTGAAGACAACTGAATGAAGTCCATAGTTTTGTTAATAGTATTGTGACAATGTTAACTTCTTAGTTTGTATAAATAAATATATGAGGTTCTGTAAGACTTTAATAGAGGAACTTTCTATATGCAACCTGTCTATACTATCTTTGGATTCCTCCATAAATCTAAAGTTACTTCAAAATAAAAAAAGTTTTTAAAATCTACAAATCTTTTTAGTAAGTTTGTATTTCTAAAGTCAAATTTTCCATAAATTTCAAGTTCTTTTTCCAGAAAAATATTAATTCAGAAAGATGTATAGAACTTGATCTTTGATTTGATTATACAAAGCAGTATACAGTACCTGAACAAATTCACATGCTCTATTTTAAGCATCATATTGACAGGGAAGTTTTTAGAATATATATTCAAAGAAATTATACAGTAAAAAAGAGTCACTTTTTAAGTTACTAGTCATAGTGTCCCTCTTAGTCATTTAAATCTATTTGCTGCTTAATAGACCTAATTGAAAAATTACCTTGTTACAAGTTTGTATCTTTACCTTTCCTAATTATATTCCTCACCAAACATTTCCTTTTATCTAAATACTGAAGCAATATGTTTAAAGATGTGAGCTAATTTCTCAAATTTCTAATTGTCATTTTCATTCTAAGAAAAACATTCAAAAATGGATGAAAAAAGTAATAGAAAGAAAAAAGAAAACAGTGTAGTCTTGGATAACTGTGTTAATATAATGTCTTTGAATGTCACAAAGCGGAAATAGGGATGATGAAGACCACTGGAAAATATTTAACTCATAAATGTTTAAGCAACAACAGTAGTGAACATGCGAATTCTTCTTACATATATAACAGGTAAGTAAGGTGACAAGATGCTGATTAATTCCTAAGAAACCAATTACTGTCATCTTGTTTATAAAAATAGGTCATTCCATTTTAAATTTCCGATTTCATATTTACCATACAATAAATACGTAGCAGGTTTTATAAAATGTATATATAATGCTTACCTTGCCTTGACAAGAGTTTACCGGGCCCCTGGCTGTAACACCTCGGATTACACAATTTGGTCCTTTGGTTATTTCTTCATAACGTAAAGATAAACCACTGGAAAAAATAAGTTATTTTTTTAATTTCCTCTCAATTAACCTACAAACAAGCTGCAGATGTGTTTTGCTTTCCTATGTGCCATTGGCATGTTTAATTCATTTTTCTAATAAAATGTTTTTTAAAATAGGAAGAAATAACTAAATGGAAGCAAATTCTCATGAATTTCTTTTACAAAGAAAACTGATCCAGTAAGTATTGGTAAGTGATATCAATGGGCTAACCACTGAAAATGGTAGAATAGGTATAATATAAAACTACAACTACATTTACTGAATTAGTAAAGATACAAGGCAGTCCATAATCCAGTGCTAGACCATGTATACAAGCCTAAGAAAAGGAAATACCAAAATAGGCCGGGACATCTTTTAATGACATCCTCTGCCTTAGCCACAGATTCCTTCAAATCTTTTACCAGTGGGATTTTGGAGAATTTTTGGCACCTGTTACTAAACTTAGATAAAGTCTAAATAATCAAAGATAGCCTCGTAATGACATAAACTGGTTAGAATATATGATGAGATTTCCTGATCTATTGCCATGAGCAATATAATTCCTAAATCAGCTTTGACCAAGTGCAGGTTTTTACAGTGGTAACCTTTTACTCTGTCAAAGGTAAATAAAGGGAAAAAAAGTAAAAAAGTATACCATGATGGAGAAAAAGCCTAATTTTTCTGAAGAATGGAATTTAAATGTTTACGGGTATTTTCCAAACAAACTGTAAAGCTCATTTGAAAAAAGATGTAAAGGGATACACAAGATAAAAAACAGACTCCCTGGGAAAGATGGCATATTAAATACACACATCTACTTTCACTGTTACTTAAAACTCCACTAATATGACAATAAAGAGACTTCTTTTATTTGTTATTAAAGGCAAACATAAAGAAAGGGTAGAAAGGAAGAAGAGACAGGAGACCAAAACTTATCCATTAGAAAGCATGATAGACCAGTGGCAAATGACTTAGCAGTCCCAAGAAAGCTGAATCCTAAAACAGCAATAGAAAGACTGGAAATCAATTTATACCACAGAATCCCCAGGTACTGCTCAGGAACTGGTGGTACCAGAAACCTCGAGAAGTGGGGGCAAAAGGGAAAGCTTTAAAAGAAAAAAAAGGATTGATGAAAGTTTAGGTCCCAGACCTCTCTTCTCCATCTCTGGCAGATGACTAGAACATTATCCTCTGAAAATGTCAAATCAGAAGATCTCTGAACCAGGGACAGCAGATAAGCTGAGAAACAAGGTAAGATACTAAAAAGAATAGAAGAGGAAATCCTGAATGAACGCATATGGACGCTGAGATCTCTCCTCTCCTACTCCCATGGCAGCCTTGCTCCTTGACTGGCTTAGGAACTAAACTACTCACCTCTCCAGGCAAAAGACTGAAGATCCTTCTTTGAGGAAACTGCCCAGCCCAAGACCTAAAGATACTGACAACAGGATTTCCCCCACCAAAATGCTCCAGACAGACATCCTACAGTTGAGCTCACACATTCTCAGAGTTTCCCATCTGCATTTAAGTTCTCTCCTCATTTACGTGCAGATGACCAATAACAAGATACATGAAGAAACCAAGAATAAACAAGAAAAAGTAACTAAGTTGGAGACAACAGAGAGTATCTGTATAGGTAAAAAAAAGATTAAAAAAAAAAAACCCAAACTACTACTTACTTTATCAGTGCAAAAAGATATTATATTCATAAAATAGGATCTACAAAAGAACATTCAGAGAATCAGGACAAATTCATGGAAATTAAAAATACGATAGCAGAAAGGAAAAAAAATCAAAGATAAGGTTGAGAAAAATATATCAGAAAGTAAAGTAGACACAACAAAAAAAAAAGATTAATAGAGAAACATTACAAAAATCAGAGATCCAGTCCAGAAGGTCCAACATCCAATAAACAAGGATCCCAGAAAGAAAAAACCATGATGACAGAAGGTACAGAACGAAGTACTTCAAATAATGAGAAGAAATTTATACAAAGACATGTGAAATTTCACCCCCTTGAGAATGAAAAGTATATAAGTTAAGAGAATAGGAAATATATTTTTTTAAAAAATCAAAATAAGCTTAAACTAATCAGCAACACTGGAAGCTAGAGGGAAAATAATGAAGCAATGCTTTCTGATGAAAAATAGTTTCTGACTTATAATTCAATCAATCAAGTAGCAGGGAAGAATAAAGATATTTCACAGCAAAAATTTCACCTCACACTTACTCTTTCTTAGGAAGCTAGTGAAGGATGTACTTCAGCAAAATGAAAGGGACATGGGATTTCTAAAAATGACTGGAGATCCACGAAAGGTCAAATGCTAAATAAAATAAGCCTCTTAACTGTCTCACAAGGCTGGAATGTTTCCTCAAGGACCAAGAACCATCTCTTTGAAATGTAATTTAAAAAGATAATGCCCTACCTCCCAATTTTCTGGGAGAGTATGAGACTAAACTCTGCTGTTGGCTGACTTCAAATTGCAGCCTCTAATCATAAAGATCCCATAAATTTAAGGATTTTATCTTGAAAGCATGGGATATAATGGTTTGTATCCATTAAGCTACATAAAACAGCAACATTCCTTCTGTCTTTGCAAATCTCTTAAGCTGACTGTATAATAAAGCTATTTTCTTTCACTTCTACCATTATGAAGAGAAAAGTGTTTATGGAGAGAAAGTTTTGTGTTTAATCCTATTTCCCCTACATCAAACACAGAAGAAAGACAAAGACAATCCCCAGCAAGAAGGTGGAGGAAGATCACAAAATGACAACTATGAAAAGCATAAAAACAATCAGTCCAGACAGAAGCACATCACGAGCTCAAAGAGAGATTATCTCCAAGAATATGAAACTGATAGATTATCACCTAAGCATCTTCACAAGAGACTAGACAATTGGCAGGGACTTTAGGGTTTAACTTGTAATAAATTTAGCAAAGAAAAAAAGTATAGTAACAATAAAGTTATGAAATAAAGTAAGCAGAATTTGCATAATTGTAACAAAGTGAGGACTAAATACTGATCAAGCGAGAACAGAACTTTACGGAAGAATGAGGAACTGGAAAGATACCTATTTGTAATGAAGGTGGCAACAAGAGAGTACATCCTCATCTTCCATGACCATAAGTCAAGAGGTAATGCCTAAAACTGAAAAATCTAGAAGTAGCAAAACAAAAGTTACTTAGACATATGGCAGTAGTCACCAAAAGAATCAAGTAAGAAAGTTGAAAGAGGTTCTCTGAGAAGTGGACTGTGGGTGGAGGAGGGAGGGGAGGAACCCTCTGTTTTATGACAAGCTTATCAATCTATTTGATTCTTTAAGTCATATGCATAAATAAATTATTTAAATTTAAATAACACTGAGAAAAACAAAAATAGCAAAGAAACCCACCCATTCAGTGGTCCTAATTAACTGAAGATAAATTCATGTGAACATGCTACCAAATTTTTTTTGAAAGTCCAAAATCTTAAATATCACTATATATGTATGAGACTTCATATGTAAGAATATTCTATCAAGGAGAAGATGGAAGTTATAACAGATAATAGGTGTAGAATAATGCACTAATATTTTCCATTTGTGTCTAGACTGCATATTTTTAGTGTTTTATTATTTAAACAAGTATGTTTAAGTATTCAATTCTTCCATTGCTGTTTAATATTCAAATTAATGTAATATGTCAAAAAGAATGACTTTTTGCAACTTGAACACAGAAATATAAAAAATTAATTTTTAATATTTTTCATAACCACGTATTACTTTTCAGGAACTTAACTATGGCATAACCTTGACACAACACTATCTCACTAGTCTGTCAACTTCTAGAAAGCAAATTTCCCTATTCACTTCCATATCGCCAGCTACCTGGAATATAACACCTGCTCAAAAGATTGAAAGTAAACAATTCTACCACAATGGGAAAAAAATACATAGAGACAACAGAAGAAGGTATATATAAAAAGTATGTATAAAAAGACAAATTTGGCAGCCAATGCAAAAAAAGAAATATGTAGCATTTATACAAATTAATGTTCAGAAGAAGAAACACAACTCATGCTCTTTAGACTGATCAGGAATTTCTTCCTAGCCACCTCAAAAAGAGGTGATTAAATAATGAACATCCTCAGTAACATCAATGGACACATGTTAAGTTTCTCAGAGCTATTTCTTAATGCAAGGGCTTGTAAGGGCTATCAAAGTAAGGGCAAATTCTAAGGAAGGACCCAAATTTCCAGGGAAGGCATAAACTTTATTGCTATGGTTTTTAAAACATCAAAATTAATTGCATTGGCAGGTTAAAAACCTATTAGTAGGTAATACCACTAAGTTCAAATGGCCATAATGTCTAAGTAAAAAGCAATAATAACAAAATAAACAGTGGTATTACTAACAGAATTGCCAGGAAATATCGTATCATACTTGCAAAAGGAAATAGAGTTAAGACCTAAACACCTAAACAACTTCAACAGTAAATTCAGTCAAAAGATAAACTTCAGTGAAGGAATTTATATATGATACTGTAGTCACAGAGGAGAGTTTGGGGCTAAATAAATCCCCTAGATATCATAAAATTCACTAAATATTTTAAATGACAGTAACGAAGTTAAAAACTTCACACAAGTAATTTAAGTTTAAAAAAGAAAAGAGGGAATGCTTAGCAAATATGAAAAAACAAATACAAATTGATCCTTCAAATTACCTTGCTTCAAGAACTGGCTGAATATCAGTTACTAGTTGACTAGCATGACCAAATTCATCCTGAAACTCCAGAGGGATATTGAATGGAACTCCAACACGAAAAGGAGGATCCAGGAGACCAAATGAAAATTTCTCTGGCTTACCCTCTTTAACAAAAACAAAAGTGAAAACAAAACGCAAGTTCATTTGTCAGAAAATTCACTGGAGGTCAGAAACAGTCTAGGACTATGATAAAGATGGCATTTTAAATCTGTGCAAAAATTATATAAATTATATTGACAATCCACTTGGGAAAATAATAAAGTTAGATCTTTATCTCACACCATACATGAAAGTAAAATTCTAGAGGTAGAGATAAATTTATTTTTAAACTAAGAAACTATGAGAATATAAAGAATATGTTTATAACTTTATCAGACGAATGAACTTCTAAGGCATAACACAATCTTCAATAGCTATAAAAGGATATATTTGACTAAGTTAAATAAAAGAGAAACTCCACATGAAAAAATATTTGCAAAATATGCAATAAAGAATTAAAATTCAGAACTCATGAAAATCTCCTACAGACCAACTATTCTCAAAGTGTGGCCTTTAGTCTAACAGTTTCAGTCATCCCCTGGGAACTTATTAGAAATGCAAAATCTAGGGCCTACCTCAAACCTGCTGAATCAGAAACTCTGGGGAGAGACCTAGCAGGCTGTGTTTTAATAAGCCCTTTAGGTGATTCTGATACAAACTCAAATTTGAGAACCACAGCTTTCAACTATTAAAACAGGCACAACAAATGAACAGGCTTTCACAGATGACATACAACGTCCAATAAAGGTTAGAAGAGGTACACAATCTAAAAATTACAAAAATAGTTTAACCACCAACTATGCAAAATAAATATATAGTTTAGCCAGGAATGAGCACGTGGGAAACTGAAATTCTCATAGTCTGCTGGTGAGGGTACCATAGCACAGTCTTTTGGGAATTCTACTTCTTGGTATACACTCTAGACAGAATCCAGTGTAAGTACACAAAGCAGTATAATTTTCTTCCAACATAGCAATATCGTTTGTAATAGCCAAAAATTAAAACAACCTAAATGGTTCATCAACAGGAAACTGCTTAAACTATAGCACATCCATACGATGAAATACATTCCACAGCTATTTAAAGAACATGGTAGATTTATATGTACAAAAAGAAACAGTCTCCCAAAAAATTGAAGAAAAGAAAAGAAAAGGAAAGAAAACAGTCTCCTAAGCAGTCCTGATTAAAGAAGGTAATCACAGCTACTTAGATCAGTTCTCTCCAAAACCTCCATAACAATGACACTGCAGATCTTCTTTAAGAGACCTAAAAACCTACAAAAAGAGCAAACAAGAAAAAGACAATAGTAATAGAATTTGAAGGCTAGAGAACATATGGACGAGTGGAACTGACTTAGCAGAAAGACCCAAGCACATCAAATCCTCAAACAACAAAGTTACCAGAGACCCAATCTGACGCACATTGTAAGACATTGAAAAGGCTCAGGAATGGCTGTATCAAGTTGTAGTAAAATTGGAATAAAACTGGAAGATCTGTTCAAGTTTAAGAAACAGTTCCCCAGATCCCCATCCCTTAATGCATGGGCCAGGTTAACTGCCCTCCTCATCCCCAGTAAAGATGGAAAGTTTATTCTCTGGGAAAAGAAGAGTAGGTCTAAGAAGTAAGCGACAAAGCGCTACTAAAAGTGTCAGAGTTTACTGCAAATAAAAAAATCAAGTGAAAGATTATATACTAAAGTGAGACAAGCCCCCCAACAGTCTTCTCCAACGTGGCTCCTAAAATACTGGCAGCCAGGTCTTTACCCTCCTAGCAGATGAATAGAAGGCTCTACTCTGGGAATCTGAACAGCCAAAGAGAGAAAGCCTAAAAATTCTCATATCATAATTTCCCCCAATGAAATACAAGTTTTCAAGTGTCCTATTCTTAAATATGAGCAAATCATTAGTCATGTAAGAGAGTATCTAACAGGAAAGACTCAGAGAAAGAGTGGAAAAAAGTAACAAGAAAGAAACAGACTATGAGTAAGGAAAAATGCTTCAAGAAAACCCCCAACTATTATTAATATCTTCATAGAATTAATAAAGATACCGAATTAATGAAGTAGGAAGAAAATGCTTTGAAAAGGAATAATGGGAGTGGGGGAAATTTTAGAAGCTAAAAATGATAGCAGAGGGGAAAAATTCAAAAGAAAGTATAAAACATCTAGTTAAGGAAATCTCTAATGAAACAAAAACAAAACCAAGAGACAGAAAGTAGAAAAAAGAAAAATATTAATAGTATATTGGATTCTTGAGTGCTGCCTTTTGACTGAATCCAAATTTTACAAAACAGATCCTTTTAATAAAGGGATTTGTTCTGTGAAGTTTGGATTTAGTCGAGGGGCTACACTTGGGGATCTGGAGGGCCACACATGGCCTTAAAGCTGTAGGTTCCCCACCCCTCATATAGAATATCAAGTTAAGGAAATCTCCAATGAAGTAGAAAAACAAAGAGATGGAAAGTAGAAAAAAGAAAAACAGTGTATGACAGATCCAATATTTTAATATTAGATGTTTTAGAAAGAAAGCATACAGTAGGAAATCAAAGTAATGCAAGAAAAATTCCTAGAAAATAAAACAGGAGCTTCCAGACCAAAAGGGTATACAAGGTATACTGTTGGATGAAACTGGAGGAAAACAAACTCACACCAAATGATACAACTTAAAATTCTAGAAATTGGGGGTGTCACATGCAAAGGGTCAGGAAATAGAACAGCATTAGACTTTACCAGCAACAACGGAAGGTAGAAAACAATGATGTCTTCAAAATTCAGAAGGAATATGATTATCAAGTTGATTTTTAAGGCCATTTAAAAATCCAGATGGTTACCTAATTGTTCAAACATCTTATACTGAATTATCTTTCTTTTCCCCTTTGATTTAAAATGCCACCTTTAGCATATATAATTATATATTAGTATTTTGCTTACCTTTAACAGAAAATTTAATTATTTTAGATGGTAGTGGTCTTCCTGAATAAGTGTCTGCATTACTTTCATTCAATACAACTTGTAATTTCAATGTGTAATTCCCCAACTTTTGAATGTTTTCTGGATAAATTAAGAAGAATTAAAAATCAAGTCAACATAATACAGATGTATTTTTTAACATTAAGAATAAGAACACTCACCCATTTTTTTAAACCAGTAAGGCCATTTTCCTCCATGTTGACTAATATGTGAAATGATTTCTTTATTTCCACTTGAAGCTTAATAAAAGAAAAAAGAAGCAATTTGCCTTGAGAAGTTGAATATAACACATGAATATAAAATGTCACACTAGCAAATATCTTTATTTGCTGTACATTTTTTTTTTTTTTTGAGACAGAGTCTCACTGTGTTGCCCGGGCTAGAGTGCCGTGGCGTCAGCCTAGCTCACAGCAACCTCAAACTCCTGGGCTCA